GACAGCGTTCTGTTATATATATACATATATTTGTTACCCTCCTGCTGACGAGTAAATTGGACACGAAATGTAAAACATACGTAGCATCTGTTTGCACTCAAAAATTGGAGGAATATATATACAGGTATCCTCCAACTTACGAACTAGTTCCGTTCGTAAGTCGAATTTATTCGTAAGTCCGGGAACTTTAAAAATTTCAAAATATACCACACTTTATTATGATTTTTACTTTAATATATGTTAACTTCCGTATTACTGACTGCATAGATTTGAAAAATAGATTAAAATAAACAAAATACTTTTCAATGTAGACATCACAATTATTTCATAGAAACCGACAAAAGAGATAAATGCAACTAAACATCTTTCAAAGTTATTTTGGACAGTTAATTTTTTTATCACTATATATTTTCTTGTAACAAGTTAAAGCTTTTAGAACTTTATTCGTAAGTACGGGAGTTCGTAAGTCGGGGGATACCTGTACAAAGTCTGTTACTTTTATATTTGTTGTGTTTTCAAATTTATTTTATTTTTTGCCTTAAGCTTATTTAAAATCCTATTAGGATCCGTGTTTCTGCTTCTTCATCTTTTTTTTTTCAGAGACTTTCATCACCTATTTTTTTTTTGCTCGGCTTAGTAATTTAGTTAATGTTGTTTTCAATTACAAGTATAATATTATAATTTACATTTCGCCGAATCCAAAACTTTATTCATTAAGCTCCGGCACCCGATTAAAGCGTCTGTTATTGATCTGTGCAACATCTACAATTAATTACGCTCCTAATGAAATTCCATTTATCCCGGATCTCGTATGCAGATCTGCTGGACCAACTTCGGAGACTGCAATAAAGTCAGTTTTTATGTAACCACCCGCAGGCAGGCAGGCTGGCAACATTTGTCGACGGCAACAAAGTTACAAAGTTGCCGCAGCCGCGCACATCTACCATATCGTGCCCAGATCTACTTCGTTACATCATATACAAACAGACCGACGGATGTGAAAATATTTAAATTTTTATTGTTATTACACTTCCGCCGTGTGATGATTTTAAATTTTGATTAAAGCCGCGGATATTGATCCTCGAATCTGGAGCGCAACTGGCCCAGAGCATCCCCCCATCAACCCTCGGTGCGGGTCTCGCTCCGGCATTCGGCAGTCGGAAAATAATAATAATAATAATGATAAAAAAAAAAGGGAGATGAAGAAGAAAAGTGGAAAATGCAAGGGAGGAAAACGAGAAGAGGAATATTATGTATATGAAATAAATTAAATTAGCATAAGCCTCGTGGCAGTCGGATTAAAAAAGAAACGTGGAAGTTACAAGCGCATATACATATTTAAATTTTAAACTCGACTCGGCGACTAATTCGTTCGAGATAAATTCAAAGGCCGAGTACAAAGGATATTTACACACACGCAAAACAAGCAAAATACTACAAAGGTAGACCTCTGCGGTGAAACACTAAATGTAATGTAATCGAATTACAGCTACATCAATATCAGAGTAGTTCTGAGTAGAAACGTTTCTCTTAACTTAAATGGCTGAGACGAGATGTGGTTGGTTATTTATTTAAGAACTGGCTTCAATGTTAGTTGATTATATTCTAATTGAACTCTGATTTACAAATTTACCTACCTTGTTAGCTTTCAGGCAATTTTAATTCATGAACCTTCAGAAAATGTATCTATTTGAAAGCTTTACAATTAGAATTAGTACAATCAGATTATTTTATTATTAGCTTAATTAAGATTTATAATTACATCTATATATAGATAATTGAAAAAAAAAAAACGTTTTTTAACACTAGTTTTCACGTTTTAGTATATTATACTAAACTCTAATATGTTATTTCTTAATAATTAATAAGCCCATTAGTGTATATAAACTAAATTGTATAAGCCTATACATCATACAATATCATCAATGTATTAGAATCAATTACTGGTGATGTGTGTATCTAATCGGCACTAAGAACAGTTAATCCCTCCTCAACAGACTAAGCTCACACATTAACTATTCACAAGGGGCCTAATACTTTTATTGAATACTAAATTAGCAGAAGGACCTCTTAGTCCTTTCTTCACTGTATATTGCGTCCTATTTTTTTTTTGTTTCAACGATCTTATTTATTCAGTAACCCAAGAAAGGGAAAAAAACAGGTAAAAGGGAAAGGAATAAAAGAAAGGTACGAAACTTAAGTTACAAATAAAGTTATCTATGTGTTTGGATTTAAATAAATTATGTAATGATAAAGTTTGAATATAGCAGTCGGTGATAATTCATGTGATGCGAAGATCATTTCATTTGGTTCGTCGGCTTTCTCGATTTTTCGTTTCATTATACGTATTTTTTTTTGTTACGTACTCCCCTTTTCGTACTTTCCATTTTGTTTCATGCCTAAAAGCTTTTTTTGTGCCGCAATTTATATTTATAATACGTTTTGAATCGATGGGAGTTTTATTAAAATTAAAAGTATGTTCTCAGTTTTCAACATATCCGCACACTCATAAAGTAAAACCATGTTTGCAGATATTTTATTCAAATTGTACTACAATAGGATTTAATCAATACTTATGAATTATATCGTATTTGAACATTTATGCAGTTTGTAACGAAGTATTCAGGAAACGTATAGATAATGTTAGTAGTGTAGTTTGTTTAATACTTTGTTGGCTTTACGAAAATTGTGGATGTATCGTATGTTATATTATTAGGAGATTTGGTATTAATGAGAGCAATTAGAGAATGTGTGGATGAGTTCACTGTACCTACAGATCAATACTTTTCTGTTCTATTTATAAATTGTATTTGCCTTCATACGTAATTATTAGTGAAGTCGAAAGCAACAATTTGCACTAGGTCGATTTAACTCAATTAAGTTTGCGACGCAGAACGGAGCTTAATAGAGACGTAGGTGTATCGCGGCTGCTTTTTAAGGAGTACTAAGAATTGTATTTTCCTCCCCCAGCATGCTGGTGCAGAAGCAGGAGAGTTAATTTTCCAAGCATCGTTAGAGTCCGCCTTTTAGTAGCCTTTTACGACAAGCAGCAGCCACTTTGCTTGTATTCTTTGATCATTGCTCCGTCCGAAGCAAAAGGGCGAATTAAAACTTTCCTAATTACTTGTGTGCGTGCGCTTTCTTCTTCTACTTATTCTTCAACAATAACCGATTCGTTCTCGTTTCGTTCGAACGGCTCTCTTTATTAGTAGAATTCCCTTAGTTTGGGGTCTCGCTGCCTATCGCTTTTCGAGCAACATCGATTTGGGCCAATTTCCCAGAAGCGCGGAACGTTTCGGAAGATCTGAGGCCCAACAATAGCACACATAGCATCTGCACGATCGATATTAGGGGAAGAGCAGAACGGGAAAAGCGGCTTAAAATGCGAACAGAAACGGATGGACTTTTTGGTTGAAAAGTGAAAAGGAGATCAATACAGAGAGATCACCAAAAAAAAAATGCGCAAGGGTCGTCTAACTACAATATGTATTCAAATTTTTAAACGCTTCAAAAGGGAACATGCCGAATAGACTGAACACAAAAAAAATTAAATAATGCGTAACAATGACGGGTTTGTAGCGCACGCAACGCCCTTTGATATATATTCGAGAAGTTACTGTGATCAATAAGAGTATCTTGGGCCCTGCTGCAGTTGTATTTCTCAAAACTGGAAATGGTTAGTTTCGGGCAGTCTTTGAACACTTACTAACAACAGTTTCAAACATTATTTCTAAATCAGGATTAAAGTTTCTCTGAAGATTTTGTACGAGATAAACCATATAGAAATACTAAGTATTATCTAATGGAAGTAGCTTTAGTCACTTAATCCTCAATAATCCATACACTTAATACACGTTTCCTAAAGTGGAGGCTACATTTTTTTAAATAATTTCACTAGCATCGAAACACATGCGAAATATATTTAATTGATATCCAATTACCCATTAAAATTAACTAATTTTGAGTAAATTTAAAAATTCATTTAAAGTTTACATAAATAAATGAATCATTTTATGATAATTTAGTTGAAAAGATTATAATTAGTAGCTAATAACTATATCTTAGTATATTCGTGAATTAAAGCCTACGCGCAGAAGTAATGGGTATAAAATGAAAATGGTGTTTCATTCACATGAATTGATTATCTAATAGGGTGGTGTTTAACGTAGGCTTACAACTGGACAGGGCTGTATATTGTTTAAACTTTATAAATAGTTTTTAATGATGAATCCTTTAATTAGTCTACAATTATTTTATTTTACAGTATGATTCGCAAATGGTATACTGAGGCCGAAAGGAGTATTGATTAGTTTGCAAGATTGTACAGTCTGGTATAAATTAGTAGAAACGAGTTGGGAGTATTATTATTATTAAAATAAATTTTGTAAAATATCGATTTCAACATATTTATTCCTTCATATATACACACACATAAAAATTAATATTGTTGCTTCGCAAATAATAGCGAATGGAAGAAGCGTGTGATGTAACTAAATAAAATACTACAGTCAGTCTTCAAATAAATTTACTAAGGAGAGTAATCGTAACTTTCCGATGGCGAAAGCTGTAGTAGTATTTGCCCGTAAGCTCATTAATTTATTTCCAGGATTTCGTTTGATTTAATCATCTGCTTGCAATGTCTTAAGTAAACAGAGATGCTATTATCCTCGCAACAAAATTAATTGAAACTGTAATATAAACTATAAAGAGAAATTAATGTAAACATTTAAGTATAAACAGATTAACCCTAATTAACCACAGGAATTTCACGGCGAACACACAGAAATTAACGATAACTGCATATTGCAAGAGGTTCCTTCCAGCGTGAAAGAGGTTTATTCATGTAAAATAAAATTAAGAAAGAAAAAATATGTCTAAATCAAATGAAATAAAAATACAATAATAAAATGACAAATCGGATAAGTTAATATAATTTTAGATGTCTTCGACTGTTTTTCAATCGATGTCGATATAAGCCTAACAAATAATGGTTAAAAAGAACAATGACGGAGATCTTTGTAATCGTTAAAATCATTAAAAAGTACAAATTAAGAGAAAAAAAATATATAGCTAAATGCCTGATAGCTAAAATAATAATACCAAATAAAATTAAAAAAATTCTTTTTAAGTGTATCGCAACCCTGCTAGATGAGTTAAACCATTTAACCAAAATCAATCAAATACATTCACATCTCGATATTCTGCAAAATATTGCAATGGGAATATTCAGAATACTATCACAAATAACAAATACAGTAAAATTATTTCAACGAATTTATACATAAGCAGGGTTGCGTTAAATTGGATTACTTCTAGCCGAATAAAGAGAAATCCGTTAATTCCGTGAGCTCTTCATGCAGGAGTAACTGTTCTTTAATTAATTTAGCAGCATCCTCTTCCATCTGTCGATCTTTGTGTCTATCGTAGCACGTGTTTTGTTTCATCATCAAGAGCTTATTATACATATTCAGCACCTTAAACAATCCATCGTAGTTCAAAGAATCCTAAATAGAAATGTATCAATTCATACCTGAGTGTCGACCTTATCTAGAGCCGCCTTCACGTCTTGTTTTCTAATATCTTTATCCACCAAACTTTTGAGCTTGTGCAGCTCACTTATATTATGTTTATTCACAACCTCCAGCTCTTGTTGGCATTTCTTTATTTCCATAAGAATCTCATCATCTGGTGGATAAGTCTGTAAATAAATTCTACTATAATTTAACGACATCAATTAGCTTCATTTTGTTGAAATAATAATGAATTATTATATCCGGATTTTTTTTTCTTCTATTTTTCATTACCTTGGGTAAATCCTCGACGTCGAGAATCCCTTGATCCACCAGTTCTTTCCGTAGAAGTCTGTCTAGACAAAGGCCACTCCTCATGCCGTTGCTGGACTTAATGGTGTACTCGGTAGATTTCTGAAATTTTTCGAACACGGTTGGCATTTGCTTTATGACTTTTTCTTTAATGAGCGTATCTAAAAGACGTTGCATCAATGGACTGGGGTACGTGTCATTGGTACTAAAGTTAAAAGTTTATATATCGAAACCTTGGGATTTAATTAGCATACTTATTCGTTACTCCATTACGCTTAACATCACTGTATGTGGAGTTTGTGGGTTTCTTGGGTGCTTTCATGTGTCCGTTCGTTTGTTCCCGTTGTACAGTATTTTCAGCCCATTCCGTAGCGTAGTGGTCGCCCACCTCAGGGATTTTGACTTCTATTTCTTGGGAACATTCTTGAATTATATCATCTAAAAACTATAATCTAAGAATGAACAGTGGATCTTCTATGGAGAGTTCACAGCTACTTACACACACATTATCTCTACTAACATCCTGGCAATAAGGATCTAATGATAACCAAAATCTATTTGATACATCATGTTTTTCAATGATGACTTTAGGTACTTTTCGCCGTACTGATTCATCATTTTTATAATTATTTACAGGTACTGCTTGCTTTGTTTTTAATATTTTAACTACATTTCGCGCGTCTGTGTGCCTCCTTTCATCTTCTCGTTTTCTTTTTGCAGATGGTTGCTTAAAACATATATAAAATAAAATATAAGGCAGTTAGTAAAAATTTTTGATTATACTTACATATGGCTTTCCTTTCTTATCCCTCCGATCTTCAGTCTCTGCTTTCAGCAATCTGATTCTAACAGCGCATGTCGATAACATTCTTTCAAAATCTTGTTGTAGTTGATCCAAGTCATCCATTCTAACACCATCTTTCTGGGTACGCTTTAAAACTATCCACAAGAGTTTAATTAATTATTTTATTTATAGCTGTACTTACTCGAGGTATAACTTGGAAGAGCCGTCGCAATGTCTGTTTGTTTGATTAGGGGTAAATTTATTGGGGCGCTTTTAATGGTTTCTTTAGATTTATCAACTTTATATTTTAAACTCTTCGAACTGTAAGATCTTTTTATGTCCATCTCCTGAAACAACAACACTTCTTAATAACTTTTAAACTATTATTGAAGTCTAAAGCTCTGATTAGGCAGTATATTATAACCTCAATAAATATTCAAACATTTCTTTAAAAACACCCGATTCACTTGCATTCATTATTATTTTAGAGCAACACTTCTTATTTTAACGTAGACTTAGCACAGGACAAATGCATTTTATAATAATTTTTGTAGAAAACAGAACTAGGTACACCTACCTGAAGTTGCCACGGTTCTTTGACTCTCTCTGACTCTCTCTCTCCAAGCCTCAAGCTTAGGCTATATCTGACATATATGCATTTCTGACGTTTGATTTCAATGAAGTTGACTCGGTTTCTTTACAGTGATGCAGTACGTTTGAATCCAGTTGTTGTTGTTGCAGGTATACCAACCTCTAAAAATCAGTTACAAACAAACCTCATGGTTGTCGGCGAATGCTTGTTAATACGTTAAGATTCGTTTGGATTTTGCAACTGTGCCTACATTGTAACAGAATATCAAGGATTTACTAGAAATCATTTCTTTCAATTATTCTACAAACATGTAAGTAAATTCTCATATAAAGTTTCTCTTATTTAATAATAACCTAATCTCTTTAGGTCTATTACCAAACCAAAATCAGAGATGACTGCTGAAGAGCTGCAGGCAAGAGAGGAGGAAGAATTTAACACGGGACCACTCTCTGTCTTGACCATGTCTGTAAGGAACAACACCCAAGTTCTTATAAATTGTAGAAATAACAAGAAGCTTTTGGGACGTGTGAAAGCTTTTGATAGGCATTGTAACATGGTTTTGGAGAATGTCAAGGAGATGTGGACAGAGCAGCCTAGGGCTGGAAAGGGAAAGAAGAAGGCTAAGCCTGTTAACAAGGATAGGTTTATATCCAAAATGTTTCTTCGTGGAGATTCTGTAATATTAGTGGTTAGAAACCCACTATCATCACAGAAGTAATAACCCCATTTCCCTTAGTTATTAAGTTAGTTTAAGACGCATTATATAGATTATGTTTTATGAATAATCAAGTGAAATTTTCACTGTTTGTACATTTTGATGTATATCCCACTGGTATTTTTTTTTTAATTTTCAGAATTACTCGTTTTATTTTGAATATGTTTAAGATGTTTTCTTTACTACATACTTATAATAGTTGAATTAAACTATTTATTTATACTTTATATATAAACAAAGGATATACTTCATGAATGTGTTTTATTTCTTTAAATCTATCAACATACAGTAGTTATAAATATTTATGCACATAGATATTTCTTAGCATACAACTGTGCCTTTTTATCAAAAGCTAATGACTTTATTGGTGTATTCTCTTGGTAGAATGGATTCATGGAATGTTTGATGTAGGATTCATAGACTTCATTAAAGAAATTCTTGATACCATCATCATTACGGTTATCATGCACCATGACAAATCTTATAAGACTAGCTGTGACAAAGGCGGAGACAAACCATTGATTGAATTTATCTACAGACTTTAGATTCATGCTATGTGTCTTCCATTTATGCTCATCAATCAAGTCCAAAGCTGCATGAGCAATAAACTGATTCAGGTGTCTATGGTCTTCCTTCTAAAATTGTAAACAAGAAGATGTATTGTCGATTGAGGAAACTTTTGGGAGTTACCTTGGGATCTTTATTGTTAGAGAACTCCAACTCGAATATAGGATTATCATTATGTCCTACAATCACGAAATAGTAACTTCCCGTTACTTTCTGCCCTTTCTTAGACATTTTGTCAATAGTTCATATTTTGTAAACAGTAATTAGAAAAACAAGTATTTTCAGGTTATGCCACTGTAATACTGAATTTGCTCACCAGATGGAGTATTTCTGTTATTTGTAATTACTACACTTTCAAATAATTATTTTCTTCTTTAAATAATACACACGTTCTTTTCTATATTCATTTAATTAATCGAATGTAAAGCAAATGAATTGATCAGTTATTGATGATACTTTCAGAAGCTCAAATATATTTGTATTTTTTTAACTATTATGTATAATATAACTATCTCTCTTTAAATATGCTGTTAAATCCCTTTGTTCTTCAAGTAAAAAGTGCATTTTTTGTACTGGAATTGTCGGATGAATTCTATAATCCCACTAGTTTGCTTCTTATAACTGTATTTCTTAACCCTTAGCAGGTTGTAGCAGGTATGAATTTATATATTTACAGGTTGATTCCTTTCGAATCTTCACGTGATTTCAGGTAAATATTATTTAAATTAGTTCTCTTCAATGTTGATATTACTTTCTACTTGATGGCAATTGGTTAAGATTTAGAGAAATATAATAATTATTACTTTTCTGTAAAAAAAAATTCTTCAGGTTTAATTACAAAAATTATATTTAAGTAAAAAATTAGTTACAATTCACATAACCATTTTTTGTAATTTAGAAAAATATGCATCAGTAAATGGAAATAAATTTAGCTTACATTACGTAATATACGGTTATGTAGTATATGGGTGATGATAATAAGAAATAAATACTTTCATATATTTATATCATGATATAATGGTTACACTCCCTTGATGAAAGTTATTAAGCAATAAATTGTTACGATGCTTTCAGAAAGTTGCGTGAAACATTAACTTTAATAGCTAATAGTCACGTAACTTTTGGCAGTCCTTACGATATTAAAAGCATTTTACCTGATTCTAAGAAGGACTCTTAACAACATAATACGCCATAAATCATACCAGTTAAGACTTCGCTTTGAAAGACGAAGGGATCTTTTCTGAGAAGGTTTATGAATTGAACCCAATTGTAAGCTTACTACCTACTGCAAAACCCATACAATTCTTCATAAAATATTAGAAAGCAGAAAAATCGCTATTGGGATTTCCGAATAATAAAGTGAGTTTTTCATTAAATGCTCATAAAAACTCACAAATAACTAACAAAATGTACTTAATTACTATTTTACTCTTTGAAACATTGTAGGACACATGTAATTATATTACTTTGGTTTCTATTTCAAACTAATTTATAGTTAAATTGACCGTTGCGTCATCTCCCGTTTAGAAGCCAGATCTATCCCTCACGCTTATAAATAACAAATAATGAATGCAAATAGTCTGTTAGAAATGATATTAAGATGATCTGGCTTCAAATTGGAGCCTTAATCCTGATTATTAATCGATTACAATTAGTATTGATTACGTATTAAGTAACACTAATTTAGTTGTTTATTGTGTATTTTTCATGAAATGAGCTTATGACATTCATAATTTTGTTTTAATTAGCTAATTTAGTCTGTATTAAATTGTGATTTTGAAATGTCTTCAATTTACGGACGCGTGACTGTGATTTTGAATGCAGCTTTGATTGATGCGTCCTCTTTGGAATGGAATCCTGTTTACAGAGTATATTTATTACCTAATATTGTATGCAAATTTATTTGATAAAACGTGTGAATATCTAATGGTTTGAAGAAACCTCGAGCGCTTTGTAAATTGTCCTTGAATTGATGATTCAGGTTCGTAACCGGAAAAGCGATCGGGATTTGCATCGGGTTTCCGGATTAGAAAATGCATTTGGTCATCGTGTGTAGGTGGGCGGCCTGCAGTACTGCAGATATATTCACTTCATATTACTTGTATGTTTGTGTGTGCACGAAGACCACCACTATCAGATCAATACCCGATAACAAACCACCTGTTTGTGCTTGAATCTTTCGCATCTTAGAATGTTAGAAGCTCATAAATACCAGTTTGCGAGTGATCTAGATTGATTGATTGATCTCTTTAACCGCACAATTGCATATTTAGTCACGACATTTCGAAGGTTAGTGATATAACAACGAATAATGTTTATATGAATGCTGTGGTCTCTTCAAAGGCATTTATATAAGAGTTATAATAGTATTGAGACGGACCTTGTACGAGCCGTTCCTCTGTTGGCAGATCGAGCATACATTTTCCGTTTTTCGCGAGTGATTTCCCCAGGGATGCTGTTTGCATCGTAATTAGGTCATATTAGCTAATATTCAGACGCACTCCTCCATTGCTACCAAAACGCACGTATCGAATGCATTCGGCGCTTCGAGACGGTCGACGCAGAGTTTGAGGCAGGTTCAGTTCCAGACATCCGAATCGTTTGGTGGTCCACATCCGACAACAACAACAACATTGTCCCATCTTCATATTATTTATTCAATATGGAGGGACAACCCTAACCAAGAAAGCTTTGGATAGTGTTGTGTCAACATCATACAACGTTGTTTGAATCGCAAATAACAATTGCTTAAACGCAATCATCCTTGATAGAATCAGACTAATCAATCATCTGCAGGCGGTAAGCTCATTATTGCATTGGTTTTAAACGAAGTGACGCTGCCTGCAACAAAAATGGTAGCCCATTGTTGATACAATCTTAGCGCACCACCACTGGTAACGCTTGATCATCATCATCGCGGATACTATTAGGTAATTATCCAGCGAAATATTTCGGAGAGCCAAAAAGAATGACCTATTATGTAGTTTCCCTCCAATATAAAGTTCAATTTCTTAAGTGCATATAACTCCTATTAGAATACATTCAAATCATCCAGTTTCAACTCTTGTATGCATTGTTTGCATCTTCGCTCTTCCGCGAATTATTTGACCATAACCTACATTAGCGTCTCTTCTTGGCTCCTCGGCTCATTAAATCATCACGAAGCTCATATAATCAAACCATTTAATATATCAATAAACCAAGGTAAAGAAATCATACTTCTTAAGAAAAATACAATAGTTTTAACAAGCAAAGGAATCAGTCTTCCTAATAACATTCACTATTTACAAGTAATTAACCCAGATTTAACGCTAAATGTTTCATCAAAGGCGAAGAAAGCATACGTTTTAATACCATTCAGTACATAGAAGTATTTAACACAGATTTAACATTAAATTGGTTATGTTTCGTAAAAGGTAAAGAAGTCATACTTCTAAATAGCTACAATTCATACAGATTTCAATATTTTAGGAATCATAAAGTTAATTTTATTAATTAGTTTTGTATATTTCTAACATCATTATTTTTTTTATATTTTATTTACAATTTATATTGTCCAGAATCTTTTTTTTTGTGCAATTCACTTTAGTACAAGATTTTTCATATTTTGTTCATTTTAATGTAACTTATCTAAACATAAATACTATTTCTTATGATTTTAAAAATGGTCATAAAATAAATAATTAAATTATTTTAATGAATAATTTAAAAAAAAATCATTACATAAACAATAATAACAAGATGTTGATATATGCTAAAGTCATATAAAATAATTAAATTCATAATGTAATCAGATTTTAAAATATATTTCTTACATTTTTGCAGGATGTGTGGAATCAGTGGAATCGTCCTATAAATTTAGGTGGTTCAGAATACAATTGTCTACAATTCGAGAGCCTCAAAATACGTTTGCATGTGATCGTAGAGGAATAATTGTATCCTGAACCACAGTATTTTTTTATAATGGTATTTCATTTTAGATCCAAGGTTTTGCAACAACTCACAGACAAAACTAATTTGAATGAGAATTTTACCAGTACAGAAACGTAATTTTGTCGTTTATCAAGTAAATATTTAATAACTTTTGCTTTGTCAACAGCGAAATGTTGTCGGAAGAGATGCAGGCAACTTTACATTATTAACCAATAGAATGTCTCTATTTTGGCATCAAATACAATTAAACAACAATTTAAAAACATAATACCCGGCGCATCCACAATTTCATTTCAAAGAACTTATTATATAATCATAGAGAAGAGACATCGAATTACTTAGTGAAAGTAGTGAGTAATTAGTATTAAACTGATTTCTTTTAAACACAGATCATCAATTTCAAATTAGAAAGTATAATTTAAAATAATTTAATTTTAGTTATATAATATAAGGGTATAATTAATTCAATATAAATATTAATTAAGTAATTAAGAGATTATAAACATAATTAACGTAGAAGCTTATAACTAATAAGTTTTATGAATATATAATTGATCTTATAATTACATTTTCAGTCTATATTGTTATATAATCATATGCATTTAGGCATACATCAACAACTTGTATATATATATTAATATAAGTAGTATAACATTTTACATAAGTTCATTTAAATAATTTCGAAAAATGTTTTACGACCATAAAATTAAAATCACTAGATTCTATTAGTAAATTAAGTAATATTAATTAAGTAATGATAATTGTCTATAATAAATTTAAAAAAAAGATAACTTCTATTAACAATTCTCAATGTAGATTGAGCAAAATCTAATTATTATTATTAAGTAAGTAAATATAGATTTAAGAATGATTTTTAAATGTTTAATCCTAAGGTAATTGTTGTTGTTGTTGTTTGAATACGATGCCAATTGTTGATTATTAATAATTTCAATTTTCAGCGTACAGATTAATGCAATCGTGTGACCTAATGACCTAATTATGATCAGACATATTCGCTTTCACAATAAATAACTCGCAGGAAAACAGCTTGATCTACTCATACAGGAACAGCACACAGGGTGAGTCAAAAGAAATCTCTGGAAATGTCGACTTCTTCTCGATTGCCTAAATGTAACGCTGAACTTGTTGTTGTATTTGTTTTTGTTGCTGTTGTTGTCGTTGCTGCTGTCTGTCTTTTTTCTGTATCGTTGCACCCCTTCCTCTGAGTTATCCAATGAGAACAAGCCGATATGGTTTAGCTCAATCTTCCGCAATAAATGTTGTTGTTTCAATGTTTGCAATTCAGATCTTATTGCTGAAATTAAGATTTTCAGGAATTCGATCGTGAAATATTGATATAAGCACGCTCTATTT